CTGCTAAAACAGAAAGAGAGAACACAAGAAGTAATGAATAAAGGTGAGAATGAATGAACTGTAGAAGACAAGTAAGAGTCTACCAATCTTATTAATATTTTCCATGTAGAAATTTTTTCTCTTCTAACCACATTCAAAATAATTAATATAGAATACTCACATTTGCTGTCCAAAGGACTAATAATTTCAGACACCATTCCACTACTATAAACCAATCACAGCACCACAGCTAGACACATACTTTTCTCTAAGTCTCTTACATTTTGAGCCACAAAATATTTTCTTTTAAATTTCTATACAGGAGCAAACGTTCACCCACATACACATTTTGAGCCTGAAATATTTTGCTCCTCCATTTCAAACTCCTACTTTGGATTTCAAAAATATATCTCAAGAGCAAATATTTAGGAGCACAGATTGAACAGTGAGATTACCTTAGAGCCCGCTGTCTTTTCCAAATGAAATAGTGACCAGTGGACCTTGTCAAGAAAGAACAAAACAGGTTTGCTTCAACACAATACAGAAGGGGTGGAGGTAGGTGGGGAGGTAGAGGTAGAAGAAGCTTGGCATCTAGATAAATGCTGATGAGACACTGGATGATGGACATACGAGACTTCTTTACACTTCCTTTCCTTTATGTTTAAAATGGATGAACCTGGAAACCATCATTCTCAGCAAACTGACAGAAGAGCAGAAGATCAAACACCGCATGTTCTCACTCATAGGTGGGTGTTGAACAATGAGAACACATGGACACAGGGAGGGGAGCACTACACACTGGGGTCAGTTGGGGGGAAATAGGGGAGGGACGGTGGCGGGTGGGGAGCTGGGGAGAGATAGCAAGGGGAGAAATGCCAGATGTAGGTGCTAGGGAGGAAGGCAGCAAATCACACTGCCACGTGTGTACCTATGCAACAATTTTGCATGTTCTTCACATGTACCCCAAAACCTAAAATACAATAAAATAAATAAATGGCAAAAAAAAATTTCAATAATACAAAGTTTTTGTTGATTTGCTTGTTTTTAAGAATGAACCAAATGCACTCCTGCCAGCCTCAATCTAGTTTGGAGGGAAACTCTATTTGAGAACTTCTCAGCAGTTAGTCAACTGTTTAACTTAATGAAGCACAATTTTCCCCAATTGTGCTTGCAAAGCTTTTACATTTGTGAAAAAAAAACATTTTTCATAAGTTATATCACATTTTAATCAAGAATACTAAAATTTAAACAATGTGGAAATGTGTTAGAAGTGTACTCTAAGGATGTGAAGTTGGCTGAGTATGGTGGCTCACACCTGTAATCCCAGCACTTTGGGAGGCCAAGGTAGGAGGATCACTTGAACTTCAGGAGTCCAAGGCCAGCCTGGGTGACAGTGAGACCCATTTCCTAAAAAAAAAGAAAGAAGGAAAAGAAAAGAAAAAAAGATGCAGTATCATTCATCTAATTTGTCTATGATGGAATTTATCTGAGCCCTTCATCTTAAACTTTAAGAGTGACTATAAAAATGTCTTCCTTGAAACACAATAAACTATAGATCTGACAGATAACTTTTTTTTATTGAATATGTAAACTATATCCAATGTTTGCCATTCCACTACTATTTTTTTTTTCTTTTGAGACAGAGTCTTGCTCTTGCTCTGTCACCCAAGCTGGAGTGCAGTGGCTTGATCTTGGCTCAAGGCAACCTCCACCTCCTGAGTTCAAGCAATTCTTGTGCCTAAGCCTTCTGAGTAGCTGGTATTACAGGCACGTGCCAGCTACCTGTTTTGCCATGTTGGCCAAGCTGTTCTTGAACTCCTGGCCTCAAGTGATCAGTCTCCCAAAGTGCTGAGATTACAGGTGTGAACCACCAGTATCCCCAGCCCCCTATTTTGAAAACAAAAATATTTTGTTTGTTTTTTTAGGATACTGATTTTGCAATGTCACATTTGGAGGTTTAACTTTTTAAATACCATCTTTCCAACTTTCTATACTGCAATAAAAACATATTATTATTAAATGAAGCCAAGAAGACACAAAATAGCTTTACACTAAAGCAGCAGTTTTCAAAGGGGCATAATTTATCCCCACCTGCAACCTGCAGAGGACATTTGGAAATGTCTAGAGACATTTTCGGTTGTCAAAACCTAGGGGGTGTTACTGGGAACTAGTGGCCAGGGATGCTGCTAAACATCGTGCAATGCACAGGAGAGTCCTCCACAATAATAAATTATGTGGCCCAGGGCCAGGAGCAGTGGCTGACACTTGTAATTCCAGCACTTTGGGAGGCTGAGGTGGGCAGATCCCTTGAGGCCAGGAGTTCAAGACCAGCCATGGCTGATATGGTGAAACACTATCTCTACTAAAACGCAAAAATTAGCCAGGCATGGTTGTGCACTTCTGTAATCCCAGCTACTCAGGAGGCTGAGGCAGGAGAACCGCTTGAACTCGGGAGGCAGAGGTTGTAGTGAGCAGAGATCATGCCACTTCCCTCCAGCCTGGATGACAGAGCAAGACTCTGTCTCAAAAAAAAAAAAAAATGCCCAGAAAGTCACTAGTGTACTAGTGTTGAGATTGAGAAACTCGGGTCTGGAGTAAAGTGAGAGTGCCTGGAACTATTCACCATGGTTGTCACTCCATGGAGGCCATCGTTTTACCCAGCTGGCAAAGCTGCATGAGTCGGTGTTCCAGGCTTTATGATGAGGGAATCCCTACAGGGGCATAAGAATGCATCCTCAGAATGAACGTAATATGCATTAGCCTTTGCATTTTGTTGCCAGCAATCATGTTGCCTATACCACAATTTTCTACTTTTTTGCTTTCAATCTTTTGTGACAAATATGTATTTTATTGAAATGCTTACCAGTCTGATTTATTCAGTGTGGTGCAATATTGGGCTTCCTAAAGCACTTAGATGATTTATGGACCCAGTTAAAACAGAATGAAATCCTGAGATGTACGGGGAAGGGGCTGGGAGAGGAGAGTGCCTGTTGGGGAGTTCAGAAGCTGGGTCACCCACGAGGGTACACTAGAGTATATGAGAACTCATGAAACCCAGGGAGCTGTGAGGCCAGCCAGATTGGACTGGGGTCTGCTTCCCTAATCTAATTCTAGGGAATTTCACATGAATTCTTCAAATGGGCTAGGTAACTGCTGCTGGGAATTCTCCAGTGGGACCCCTTTGTGTGTTTCCCTCTAGAATGAAAGGGAGGGCTGAGGACCACAGGAACTTTTGAGGGTGGCAAGAAAATCAAAGACTCTCAGCTACTATTCTCATTTCCAATTCACCTGGAAAGGTATCTCATCAAATAGTGTCACTGGATACCAGAAACCTTTCTGTAGGAGTACAGTCCTCTATTGATTCTCAGTGGCTCTCAACTATGGATGCACCTTACAATTAAATCAGGGAGCTTAAAAAAATCCCAACACTTAGGCCTCATCGTATAAAAATGAAATCAGAATTTTTGAGAGTGGTGGGTGATGGAAAAAATGGGGATGGTGCTTGAAGAACAGAATCACAATTGCACCTCTAATTTTGGGAAATGTGTACTCTGAAAGTGCCCTTAAAATATATGCATATATGTGTATTGTGTGTGTGTGTGTGTGTGTGTGTGTGTGTATGTGATAATAAAGTTTATTTGAAGATCATGTTGTTAAAGACAGTCATCTTTGAAATAAAAAATTTAAAAATCCCGGAATGAAGATCCATCATACAACACAGTGACTATAGTTAATACTGTATACTTGAAAATCACTAAGAGGGATGTTAACTGTTCTCATCACAAAAAAATGACGTGTGAGGTAGTCCATATATTAATTAGCTCAATTTAGCATTCTACAAAGTATCTATATTTCAAAACATCATGTTGTATACCATAAATACAATTTTTGTCAATTAAAATTTGTGAAAATGCTGGAAGAAACAGTTCTCTTCAACACAAAAGGGAGTACTAAGAATTAACAACTTTGGGGAAGACATCAGAGGATGAAATATTAATTTTGAGGATGTTATCAGAACGACATGGAAACATGAAGATGGAAACACCATAAAAGGTTGCCAGTGAATTTCACAGGGACTCTTAGTGAATACCAAAAATGTCCAGCTTTTAAAATTAAAATGGCCCCCAGCTTTGACCTTCTAAAAACGAAGCTAGAAAAGGGTGGGATGAGATTTCTAATATTGAAACCAATAAAGAGGAAAATTGGGTTATGTGTTTGATCTATCACTGGACTGACTTTGAAAAAGGCTCTAACAAAAGAACTACATTGAAATACTGAGAAGAATGAAGGTCCTCAGTGAGCTAGGAGGGTTTATAGGAAATGGTTTTGGCATAAACTTTTTTATTGTTTAAAAAAATGTTGCTTTTGATAAAAGGCAAAACAGTTAGAAATGATAGTTTTCATGAAAGTCAATGTTTGCGAAGAAATCTGAAGGTCCAGTAGAGTTTGGGCATCATCTTCTGGCATAAGATTTCTTTCTATCTTAGAATGAAGGGAATTCATTCATGGTATTTTCAAAGTAGACTATGGACTTAGTTTTTTTGATATAAATTTTCATCTTGCCTTACCTTGTGGAAATTCTGGTATATGAAGTCCCAGCATGTGTGTGAGTCGATCCTAGGAACTGGAAAAAATATCATAGCTTTTTTCTTTCTTTCTTTCTTTCTTTTTTTTTTTTTTTTTTTTTTTGATACAGGGTCTTGCTCTGTCCACCCAGGCTGGAGTGCAGTAATACAATATCACAGCTCACTGCAGCCTTGACCTCCCAGGCTTCAGTGATCCTCCCACCTCAGCCTCCTGGGTAGCTGGGACTAATGGTGCATGCCACTGTGCCCAGCTAATTTTTCTTTTCTTTTAGAAATGAGGTTTCTCCATGTTGCCCAGGCTGGTCTCAAACTCCTGAGCTCAAACGATCCTCCCACCTTGGCCTCCCAAAGTGCTGGGATTACAGGTGTGAGCCACCGCACCTCGTCAACATAGCCTTCAAAGTCATGGACAGTATACGAAAACAAACAACAAAATCGCCAAAGTGCCTGTTTCTTTACTCACAATTCCACTTGTTGAAGTTGAATTTTCTTCAGCAAACTCACAGAGGAATGTTTCTTGAACACGAACTAAACAACCAAAAATAACATTTTTCTGACCAAGCTTGGTAATTAACACAGTAAACTCCCACACACTTATGGGACACATTAGCCCAAGGGGTAAAATTACAATATGCAATCGTAAGCCCAAGCTGAGTCAATAACTACAAAATGGACAGTTTCTGTGTTTGGAAATGGTTGGTGGGTTGGCATGGGCAAGTTTAGTCAGTTAAACACATTTCTTAAGTTGTTTATTTGCGACGTTGAAACTATTTACAATACTTGGTGGGTTTTCAAGGCCAGCCTACGTTGGCATCACTGTGTGGGAGCACCTAGCACCCTGCCTAACCACCCGGGACACACTCCCATCACTGTCTGCCAAGTCAAAACACTTCAGTCCCATGAGTCCATTCCTCATTACAATCAGTTTTGCATGGCAACATTTTCCTTCATGCTCCAAGATCTCGCTGATTTATGCATTATTTTTTGAACCACCTTAAAATCCATGCAACAGATTTTATTATTTAACAGATTCCATACAGAATTCTGCTGTATGTAAAATGAAAATGCACATCATCTTTGGGGCTATTTTACCAACTTTGGGGTCTTTATCCATGTTGAAACGTAGCCTACTTGGAAATCTGCTGATAATAAAAACTGACAACAATCATGACAAAAATAAGGATATAATATTAAAATAAATCAAATGATATACAGTACTGTCATTATTCTGATACAGAATTTTTACACAGCAATATTGATACAGGTACAAACGGCAATCCATTACAACTGACCTTTCAGTTACAAACAAGGTTTAAATTACAACTTAATACCAATTTAAATATGGTAATTAGTGTTATGCCAGATTAAAATAAATACTTCCTCTTCAAGTGACATTTTCTAGAATATCTCTAAGTAGGAGACTAAAAAAAAAAAAAAAAAAAAAAATTTAGAAAAAGGAAAAGAAGTTAATGTCATCTTTTATTTTTAGAAAAACCCAAATCTAGAAATCTGGGCTAAATTAAGTTGGCTTTCCATTCCTTCTGTCCATACACTAGCCCATCAACCGAGGTGAAGTCCTCTTGGAGTGAGGGGTTTAAGAAGGCTCCGGCAGCACTCCCAGCGTCTGCTGCATGAGAGGAGTTTGGAGTGTCAAGTTCAAATATACACTCTTTTCACTATTTAAATAGCAGGCAAAAAGCTGGATTCCCAACAGTGTTTCTGCCATCAAACTCAAGGAGATAAACCCTCCACTTTAAAATGTAAGAAGAGGGAAGAGACATGGAGAAAAATAAAGTAAGGACCTTGAAATTCTTTGAGGTGGAAGAGGCAAGAGACCAAAGGTTGTATGTGTGTATCTGTGGTGGGGCACAAATGGGGCTTGGAGTGGTGAGAAAACAAAGTTTCTTTAACAAAATATCAAATTCCTACTTTCCTAATTTTTGTGAAAATAAGTACATTTTTGACATCAAAAAAATAAAAGTCAAAGCCAACCAAAACACAAACAGGGAAATGAGGGCCAGTTCCATAATGCCTTACACTTTATATTTCTATCCAAAATTAAAATTCCCTTTGGATTAAAAGAAATCATTTAAAAATCGAAGATAAAAATGTTACTTGGAAAGTTGAGGAAGCGAGAGCATTTCTTTCTGGCACATTCTTTGTTTGGCACAATCACAAATAAGACTTTACAGATAAGATGTGACTATTCACATTTGGTTTCTACTCTAGAGTGATTACTTTCGGGCTAAACAAATAAATCGGTTAAATGAAGTCCGTAAACAGGCCAAGCCTGGCAGACATGGGCAAGTGTGATGCATCCTCCGCCCCAAAAATGGAACCTAAATAAAAAAGAAAATGGAGTCACAGCTGGAAATGTTTCAAAAACAAACCCAACCATTCTTGAGATAGCTCTTTAAACAACAATAACTAGTGTTTATTGAGTGTTAGCTACCCATTAGGCAATATACTCAGTACTTTTTGCTTACTTATTACCTATTATGTATTTTTGAGGTAGAGTCTCAAAAATGCCTGCTCTGTCACCCAGGCTGGAGTGCAGTGGTGCAATCTTGGCTCACTGCAACCTCCGTCTCTCGTGTTCAAGCGGTTCTCCTGCCTCAGGTTCCCGAGTAGCTGGGATTACAGGTGTGCACCACCACACCCAGATAATTTTTGTAGTTTTAGCAGACATGGGGTTTCACCACGTTGGCCAGATGGGTCTCAAACTCCCAACCTCAAGTGATGGGCCTGCCTCGGCCTCTCAAACTGCTGGGATTGCAGGCATGAGTTACCATACCCGTCCTGCTCAGTACTTTTTATATGCTATCCTTTTCCATTCTGACAATCACCTTGTAAAGACGGCAAGCACTTTAATTAGGCCCATTTTATAGATGAGAGGATGAGGCAGAGACTGGTATATTGCCCAAGGTCACTTACCTAAAACTTGAAGCTTGGCTAGCAGTGGACCTGAGAGACCAAGCTTTCAGTCCTCAAGCTGTACTACCTTTTACTTTTTAGCATTTATTTCAGCTCCTTAAGCTTGAACCTGGAATCATGGGCACGACCATGTCTATGCCATGAACAAATATAAACTCACCATCATTGAGTAATATTTAAGTTCATACATTTGCACACAGATGCCAGGAGTCAAAATGCTCGGAAAAAGACTTTAAAAAGAACAGAGGAAAATCAGGAAGGAGGCAAGCTCAGTCTGCATAAATGGAACAAACCACGTAGCAGTGAAAAGTCTGCTTCACTGGAGAGTCACTCTAAGAGCCCAGCCCATGTCACCAGCCAGGCTGGGTTGAGGAGGGTCAACCAACAGCGAGTGTGGTGGTTCTCTGTACAAGTGGCAAATGGTGTACACTCCAAGTACATATGCTTTCCAGAATAAAGACAGCAAATGTTATTTTCCCTCCCCTAAGGCATAGCACATTCCTGAGAATCTGCCTGTGTTACAAGTAATATGGAGAAAGTTTAACCCTAGGCCTGGAGCATCTGTGAAACTGGATGGCAAGTGACTCTGATTCGGGTTCAAGTGAGAGAGATGAGTGACTACAGACTCATGTCTCAGAGATGTTTCCGTAGCTTAAACATGGCAGAGGATGTGTTCTTCTTGCTCCCAAACTCAAAATGCTTTATTCAACATCATTCTAGTGTATTTCTTATTCTGTTCCACCAAAAGAGGCCATCCCACGTCAATGATCTGTTCTTATGAGAAAATCCAAAATGCATCTTTTAGATGCCTTCCAGATAGATTTCTTTGTATGTATCGTGTAGATATTGATACAGATGACCAAAGCTGTCTACAGACAGTGACAGAACCATTCTAACCTTATTTTGGGGCTGAACTGATAGGACACACCCAGCTCTATGGTAGTTCAACAGTGTAAAGGCTAATTCTTCTGGGCATGTCTTTCGGTGGTACCACACTCACATTCTTCTTACCTCCTTTTTCCTTTTTCTTCTCTTCCTCTTTCTTCTTTCCTGCCTTCCATTTTCAAAATTGTTCTGGAAGGGCCAGGGAGATGATTGAGATCAATAAATACAAAGGGAAGAAAAAGAGGTGATAGGAGGGCAGGGTGTGTATGTAGTGAACTGGCGGAGCAAGATCTAGCCAAGCCATCGCAGTTCCTCTGCCCTTTTGCTATGTCATTACTTCCCAGGTCCTAATGACGCCGTCTACATGCAGGCATGTTGACCACTGGATTAATATAGACGTGTGCTCAGAATGGTTCTGTCACTGTGTGAGTCAAAGGGAACTTTGAGGGCCAGCTCTTTTGCCACCACCAAGAACACATCAGGGGAGGTGAGTACAGCTGGACTGGCTTAGACCTTTATAAGTGGATAGCATGAGAAGTGATAATCAATGATCTTTATAGCCTATTCTGACCCTGAGACCTTAAGTTTCCTTTTTGCCAAGCCTAAAGTTGCTACATGGGCCAGTGATTCTCAACTAGGGATGACTGTGTTATGAGGGGACATTTAGCGATGTCTGCAAATGTTTTTTTGTTTGTCACAACTAAGGGCAGGAAGCAGGGTGCTATAGGCATCTAGTGAGTTAAGGCCAGGGATGCTGCTAAACATTTTACAATGCACAGGACAATCCCTACGACAAAGAATTATCTGGCCCAAGACATCAACAGTGCTGAGGTTGAGAAAAATAGACACAGAGAGCAATATCCAAGTAAAAGGAGCCTGAAGTGTGTAAGTGAAATACACCTATAATGAGCATGTCACACTGCTATAAACGGAGACCACCAAGTATGTTTCTTTCATTCAGTCATTCAACAGATACTGAGTGCCGCCTACATACCAGGCCCTATCTTAAGTGCTGAGCATACAGCAGTGAATAAGACAGACGAGGCTGCGCATCACCATGGAGCTTCCCTCTTAATGATACAAGACAGACCACCAGTAAAATTGTTTCAGCTGCTTAATGGTCAGTGCCCTCATGCCGCTCACAGCCTTGTGCTTTCTGCATCGTGACCTTATGATCACTCTCTGGCCTGTCATATGGAGTGGGCAGTGCCTTGGGCCCAGTAGAAAAATCACATGGATTGTGTGCCTCGAGTCAGCTCTCAGAAGGCATCATGTATGGATGCCGTCCCAAACCTCAGCACCAGATTTTTGCTTTGTCTGAGACAGAGGTAAGTGGCTTCCTCCTGAGGTAAAGCAGAGGTCCTGGGCTGAGGTTACTCAGCTAGAAGGGGAAAGTGCTCACAGTCAAACACAATCCTGCTTTCTTCCAGATTTTACTCTCTTCTCAAACACCTCCAAGCCTAGACTCTAGACTCTCTAAAGAGGGGACCATATCCACTTTACTTGTGAGCATACAGCTCTTAGCTTGGTACACAGAAAACACTCAGCAAATATTTGCTGTGTGCCAATCACATGTCCCAAAATGCCCCACAGAGTCTAGGAATTCCTCGAAGGGCAGCAGTGGGATGACCACCTCAAATCCCGAGGCTCCCCTCACTCTGCCCTGCTCAGCTCTGAGCAGGCCCAACATAACTCACACCACCAAACTCAGAGATGGGCTCACCACAAAGCCCAAGAGGCAGAAGCCCCTTTCATGCATAGGTTCCTAGTCCAGGACCTAGGAGGGACCCTGGTAATGTGTTCACAAGGTCATCTGCTTCTGTAGAACTTTCAAAAATATCTTTATACTCTTTCTTTAAATCAAGGACATCAAGACTGTATGAACATCATCCTGGATCTGCCTCAACTGACCCTAACATCATGATTACACTGAACTGCATGGCCCTTAATACCTAGGTGCTTTTTTCTCATTCAGACTCAGTTCACTCAGATCTGTGAGCTCCTAATGACAAAAACCATGATTTCTTTTTTTTTTT